GAGGTTGAGGCAAATTGCCTGGCCACTGATTATGTGCAGCCAGACACCAGGGCTGTTAGAAGAGTACAGGAAGGCGCGATGCGCATAAGAGAAGCTTTGAAAACCAGTTTCAGGAATGGCCAGGCTACGGTGTGAAAGTTCTGTTTACTTCTCCTTGATGGAAACTTCCCCACCCCCTGGGTTCGCTCTATTTTCCTGTAAGCTAAGCACCTTCCCCTCCCGGCTTCGATCACCACTTGCAGAGGCAATAAAGTAATTGTTGCTTCACATTCATGCATTCTTTATTTACTCATCACACAAAGAGGGGGATAACTGCCCAGGTAGCCCGGGAGGGGTGGTGGAGGAGGGAAAGACAAGGCCACGCAGCACTTTAAAACATACTGAATACCAGCCTTCTGTTGCTTGGGCAATCCTCTGGGGTGGAGTGGCTGGGTGGCCAGAGGACCCCCTACTGTGTTCTTGGGCGTCTGGGTGAGGAGGCTATGGAACTTGGGGAGGAAGACGGTTGGTTACACAGGGGCTGTAGCGGTGGTCTGTGCTCCTGCTGCCTTTCCTGAAGCTCAACCATATACTGCAGCATATGAGTTTGATCTTCCAGCAGCCTGAGCATTGACTCCTGCCTTCTTTCAGAAAGCTGACACCACCTACCATCTTCAGCCTGCCACCCCTCCTCGCGGTCATATTGTGTTTTCCTGCACTCAGATTGTCTGCCTCCACGTATTTTGCTGTGCTCTGTCAGTGTGGGAGGACAGCATGAGGTCAGAGAACATGAACGTTTCATCACGAGTGCGTTTTTTTCGCCTTCTAATCTTCGCTAGCCTCTGGGAAGGAGAAACATATGCAGCTGGTGGAGAAAAAAAAAAAGGAGAGTGGTAGTCAAAAAGACATTTTATAGAACAATGGGTACACTCCTCCACGGTGAACCTTGCTGTTAACATTACATAGCACATGTGCTTTCATTACAAGGTTGCATTTTGCCTCTTATTGAGGGTATGCTGGTTTGGTGAGAGAGATCACACACGCAGGGCCGAGCAGCAGAATTCAGCTTGCAGGAAGCCATGGTAAGCCACAGTCTTTTGGGTTCTTTAACCTTCATAACAAGTGGGACTGGTTTCAAACAGCAGCGCCCTCGTTTCCCATATGAAGTAGCCGTGGGGTTGGCCATTTAAAAGGAGGGGCTGAGGTTTCCGGGTTCACATGCAGCAGAAATCCAACTAGCCCCTCCCCCCCAAATTCTCTGGGATGATGGCTTCACCCCTTCCCCCACCGCGTGGCTAACAGCAGGGATGATTTCTGTTCAGCCACAGGCAAACAGCCCAGCAGGAACAGGCACCTCTGAATGTCCGCTTACTAAAACCACCCTCTTTCAACCACGTGACCATGAATGATATCACTCTCCTGAGGGTAACACAGAGAGATAAAGAACGGATGTTGTTTGAATGCCAGCAAACACCAGGACCATACGCTGCAATGCTTTGTTCTGCAATGATTCCCTACTACATGCTACTGGCCTGGCGCGGTAAAAAGTGTTCTCCCATTGAGGACGAATAAGGCTGCCCTCCCCAGAAATCTTTTGCAAAGACTTTGTTAGTACATCCAGGAGAGCTTTATGGAGATGTCCCTGGAGGATTTCCACTCCATCCCCAGACACGTTAACAGACTTTTCCAGTAGCTGTACTGGCTGCGAATGCCATGGCAAATTAATCATTAAACACGCTTGCTTTTAAACCATATATAAAATTTACAAAGGTACACTCACCAGAGGTCCCTTCTCCGCATTCAGCGTCCAGGAGCCCACGTTGGGTGTGTTCAGGGGGTACTGGGGTCCAGGTCCAAGATGAGAAACAGATCCTGGCTGTTGGGGAAACAGGTTTCTCCGCTTCCTTGCTGTGAGCTATCTACAACCTCCTCCTCATCTTCCTTGCCCCCAGAACCCGCTTCCGTTGCCTCCCACTCCTTGGACAGCGTCAAAGCACAGGGATGGGGTAGTGGTGGCTGCACCCCCTAGAATGGCATGCATAGAAGCGGCATGTCTGGGGCTCTGAACCAGAGCGGCCATTTGCCTCTCTGGTTTTTTGGTAGGCTTGCCTGAGCTCCTTAATTTTCACGCGGCACTGCTGCAGGTCCTTGTTATAGCCTCTGTCCTTCATGCCATTGGAGATTTTTTCAAATATTTTGGCATTTTGTCTTTTCGAACGGAGTTCTGCCAGCACGGATTCGTCTCCCTGTACAGCGATCAGATCCTGTACCTCCTGTTCGGTCCATGCTGGAGCTCTTTGGCAGTTCTGGGACTGCATGGTCTCCTGTGATGATGAGCTCTGCATGGTGACCTGTGCAGGTGAGCTCGCCATGTTGGCCAAACAGGAAATGAGATTCAAAAATTTGTGGGCCTTTTCCTGTATACCAGACCAGTGCATCTGAGTTGAGAGTGCTGTCCAGAGCGGTCACAACTGAGCACTCTGGGATAGCTCCCGGGAGGCCAATACCGTCGAATTGCGTCCACAGTACCTCAAATTCGACCAGGCAAGGCTGATTTCAGCGCTAATCCCATCGTCGGCGGTGGAGTAAAGAAATTGATTTTAAGAGCCCTTTAAGTTGAAAAAAGGGCTTCGTTGTGTGGACGGGTGCAGGGTTAAATCGAGATAATGCTGCTAAATTCGACCTAAACTCGTAGTGTAGACCAGGCCTAAGTTCTTGTCAAGTGCCCATCTGAGTGTACTTGCTTATACTAACTTCACTTATAGCTAGAGCTCACTTAAGCTTTCCTCTGTCCATTTCCACATGAAAATTTGACAGGTGTATGAATTATTAATCTGTATTATGATGGCACCCAATGCCATGCAACAGCCTCCAGTGATTTAAAACCACCCATTGTGATTTGCTGAATACAATACTAAACAAAAACTCCGCTGCATCCCAAAATCTTTAGTTTATTCAATAGTTTAAAGAAACATCCTATTGATGATGAGCCTTTGAATCTTTTTCAGAAAATAGAACAAAAATTGTTAGTTTTACAAATTGTCTAGCAATTAAGAAATTAAAAGCATTTGATTGCACAGAATCTTTGATATGTTTCTTAAAATTCTCTTTCAGGGAAGGGGCTACAACTGGAGAATTAGCCTTTGTGCTGACAATCCCATCAGTAAAGTTCCTGAACAGTACAAAAAGCTAAAGCTTGCCCTCACATAATGCATTAAATGGATCTACCACCACCTTAATGACATACACTGTGGTCACCTCATTAAGTGCATATTTTAGTTGCACCTCGTGTCATTTGTTCATGCGAGATCTATGCCCAGATGAAGCCCAGACACATGCTGTAAAAGACTTATTTATCCAATGGCTTCTCTGAGTTATCATAACTGCACTGAGGACCCAGATGTCCCGCTCCAACACAGCTAGTTAGCTAGCTCTTGGAGACATGTGCTGTCTTCCTAGCCTGGACAGGGAGTCACAGTAACCTTGAGGTGAGTACAAATTGGGTATGTCCAGAGGATCCCCATCCCCCCACCACCACACCACACACAAGAAAAAGTCAGTGGTCACCACCATTCCTCATTAGCAGTGAAACCTGCATCCTCCAATAGGCAGCCCCTTCCTAAATAACCACTTCAGAATATTCAACACTTCCTGTACAATCTCCTTTGAGCCTTTGGTTGGAAGCCAAACTCTGTTTGCTGAATGATGTTTGTTCGACTCCTGCATGGTCACTTATATTCTATTTTACTTAAGTATTTTGTGTTTGACAAGACCACGTGAAACCAGAGATTTGAAATATAGCAGCACAGCTTGATTTCTTACCATGTTTTTAACACTGAAATCATGTAGCAAGCTAACTACCACTATAAGATTATGTAATAAGTTACCATTTGGTGTGCAGGGGGCATTTAGTATTTGACACATTAATTTGGATACACAGTGTATACAAGACTAGAGTATATAATTGTGCAATAAGTTGCTACAATAGGGTTATACGATTATTAATGTACATTGATTATTCTGCACTTCATACATTAGCTGCTTTGCAGTTTTATTCCTAGATGTATCAATAGGAAAGTTCTACATCTTTTAACAACTCACTGCCCTTCACCATGAGACTGTTTGTCAAGTATCTTAGAGGCAATAGGCAATATTCGAGAAATGCCAAGTCAATAAAGCAATTGTGTCACCATACTCCATCTTTGCTCTTGCCTCTGAGTGAACATGAGTGGCTCTAGCCCTTTGTTCACATTCTGCAATTACGGATATTTGCCTACATGGGCAGGAAAAAACAAAAAAGGATGTTATTGCATGTAAACACAAGGTTAGTGCTGTTTATTGCTTAGGCTGATTAGCTATTTGGCAAATGGAAAATTTATCTTCAATAGACCAGGCAGAAAGAACTTCATTTGGCAGTTCAGCATTTAAAAAGGCAGAAACTCATCTTGCAACATAAAACTGAATGCTGCAGCACTGCAGAAAGCTGTTAGATTACCTTTCCCAACTTGAAAGTCTATCACTCCATAGTTGGAGGGGATGAGCTGGAGGTCAGAGAATGATCATTCACACTTATAGTGTCTTCCAAATAACTATCATTGGTGAAGCTTAATTATTCTTCCTGTTTTGCCCATGGTGAAATGTAGTCAGACTGACTTGTCCACGGTCCCAGAGCAAATCAGTATCAGAGACCCCAGACTTCCCTCACTTTCAACCATTCCAGCTAGTCCAATCAGCTTTTGAATACCCAGAGTCCTATGGTTCCAACCCCAGACAAATCATCCACCCTTTCAAAGTGAATAAATGAGGTTTCAAGCAATTTACTATAGGTGGGTCTTTCAAATGACAGCTAAAAATCCCCCAGAAGTGCTGTCTGCGGACTGAAGAGTGGATGTTCCTCTAGAGTCCTTGGCCAATTTGCTTATCTCCACTACCATGGAACATGCTGTACCCTGGTTCATCACAGGATGTAAAAATATTCCAGCAGACTGAGTGCACAGTACACACTGCCCCATGTCACTTACCTGTTTTACATTGTATCCTGCTTTCGCACTAGTTTCAATGAACATTACATTCAGCTCTTTGGCTTTCCTCTCTCCCTCCTCAATGGACACTTGCCTGGGGAAAAGAAAAACATTAGAGCAAAAGATAGGAATATCCTGACAATTAGGGTTTTGCCTCCACCCCAAGAGATGTCTCCCCAGTCCCAGCACACATGTAATTATACCTGCCAGGTACCGTCTCCCGTCACCACCAGAGGAAGGGCACAATATTTCAGAATACAAGCTGGGCTTCTACAGTGCACCTGCCAGCAATGGCCTACGTATACTCAATCCTGCCTCAGCATGTGGCGGATGGACGAGATGACCTCTCAAGATCCCTTCCAGCCCCTACATTTCTATGATTCTCTGGCTTTTCAGTAATAAAGCCAAGGTGGCCACTGGCCGTTTCCTAAATTTCTTGCCAGGAAACAACACTTGTATGGCTTGATAAGAATTAGTGCTCTTACGCTGCACTAACTAGCGATTATTGCCCTGTTTAGCTAAACCTTAATATGGTTATTTAACTTTTTTCAAAATAATTGTATGTAACCTGAAAGTATCAAAAAACTACTTTTAAAATATTTAAGTTAAATCAACTAAAAACTATTTTGTTGAAAGGAGCTAAAGATCTTCCAAACAAATATCCTAAAGTGCTCAACATATACCCAGCTTCTCCCTGAACTCAAGTTTATGATACACCATTTATGACACACAGGAAGCTAATGTCATGAAATTTACACTTTAACCAAGTCTGTTACTAGAATATTGTCATGTTCAGAAGGACATACTGCCATTATGTGTTTATGTTTTAAAAAGACACTCTTTTGTACCACTTTGTATGGAGAGATTAGCATAAATCCACTGTAGCAAGGCAGCAGAATGTCCAAATGCCAGTGCAACTTTGTATCAGTGTGTCTGAAAAAACTTACCCTTAAAAAAATTACAGTAGTTATGACAAGGGGGGCAGGAGAGAGAAAAATCACTCCGTTCAACAGAAGCTGCTCTTTTAAACAAAATTCTAAATATGGTTTTGATTTTAATCTTAACATTAAAAACAAACTAATGTTTAAAGGAATATTCAAGATAATCATTTAAATTAGTCACATACACTAAACCTAGATTATTAAACGTTTTAAATCTAGTTTACTCCTTCACTGATGCTATTGACTCTACATTTCACTCAGCTTGGACACTGACGCTAGATTGGTTAATTTCACTTCCTGGTTCTTGCGGATAATGCTGGTTCTGGTTCTCACACACAATGCTGTCCTGTGGGCTCACACTCAAGCCAGGAAATGTTTAAATAAAGTGTCAACTGATTTTTTTTTTTTTTTAAATCAAGAAATTTCTATTCACATCTGGCTTCAGCATAATTTAAACAAACTAGATTTTGGGCCAAAAATAACAGAATCACTTTAAACAGAGCTTTCTCCGCGAAATGAACAGCAAATTGACCATATAATTAAGAAGAATTATTTCTCCGTACCTCTTATCTGCTAGATCTGTTTTATTTCCCACTAGCATAATGATGACATCACTGCCCCTTTCCGTTCTGACATCATCAATCCATTTTGTGGTTTGCTGGAATGAGTTTACATCTAGTAAGGAAGAGTGGACAAAGATGAGTGTCACTGTAAAATGTTCTTCCCAGATCACTGCCAATACAGCCATAAATCTTGACTAAAAGCCTCACATTCTCTGGTAATTGGTACATTAGGGCTATGTAGAATCAATGGATGCAATCCTGACCCCAATGAAGTCAATGGGAGTTTTGTTATTTATTTCAGTGGGTCTTGGATTTTACCCTTTGGCTTTAAATGCACCTGTAATTGAACTTCATCTATCCAATTATAAATGGACTTTTAGTATCAGGGTGCACATTATGAAGAGTTTTTTATTATTACTTTTAAAGAACTGTTATTATTTTACTTTATTGAACTAAGGGCTTGTCTACACTACAAAACTGAGTCAACGTACAGCCACCGCAGTAATTAAAGTGGAGGTTCACAGTCACACCACGCTCCTTCTGTCAGTGGTGCTCATCCCTCACCAGGAGTTTCCACAGACTGAAGTAGGGCATTGTGAGGCACTGACCGCTGGAGCCCCACAGCCCTGGTGCTGACAGCTCAGGTTGTCAATGCTAGGGTGGTGAGGGCTCTGGCTGTCAGCCCCACACGGGGCTGGGAGCCAACAGGTGATGTAAGTAACGCAGTGTCTACACAGACACTGCGTCGCCCTACTACATCAACATAAGTGCTATGGCTCTCACAGAGGTGGAGTTAAGTCAATTTAGTTGGCAACTTACATTGGCGGGGGCTCCACTGTAGTGTAGACACTTACACCAGGCTGTAGTTGAGCCTATTTTATATACGGAATGGGGGCATAACAACTTTGCTATTTAATCTGTACTACTCATGATTTGAAAAATACTGAATATGCGCATTGGTAAGAGGGCCCTACTGTTTCAAGGCTTTTAAAAAGCGTTTAACAGCAATTATACACTGTGTTGCTTACTCATTTTGTGATCACTAGTTTTAGGCTTGTTCTCCTAGGAATATTTGGCTTATATAATTACTAGCCACCCTTGTTGGGTTGATCACTGACCTCAAAAGAAGTTCAGAACTGTTTACATACAAACATACATAAAAGGATCCTTTGGCTCTTTTCTAATTAAAAGCCCCTTCCAGATTCCAGCAGCTTTAGAAGAATAGGTAATGAACATCTAAGCTGCAAAACAAGATTCTAGGAAATAGGCATTAACTAATGAATATACAATAACCTTGTTTGCAAAGCTGTGTTCCTAACAATAATATCAACTGCAGTACCATTCAATTTAAGAGTTAACGTACAAAACCTACGATCACCGAGATGCCAAAGTATCTGCCTACACTTAAATAAGGAGATCTCTGTGGTAACTGTTGGCTTTGTAATGGTACAGTGAAATACTGTAAGTCTTCGATGGTTAAGACTTGCCAGCAACTTAATGGCATAAAGCTTTGCTTTAGTACTTAGCAATAATCACGAGGTCAGAAGAGAAGTCCAAAATTCACAACTATCGTGCAATTTTAGCTCAATTTAAAATGTTTATAACAATTAAATAAGTTTACAAGGGAAGCCCTTATTCTTGCTATAATCTACTAGAGTATTTATGAATAAAAGGAGAAGCCCTGTTTGGATTTGGGTAGAATCAGACTATTTAATCCAGTCACTACTGATTTAAAATGGAAAAATCTTCTGAAGGTTTAATTCTCCTTTAACAAAATTATTGCTCTTTAAAAATTAAAAGCCAATAAATGAGGGTTGTTCTGGCCTTTTAAACCAGTCTTCAGGGTGGAGGTGAAAAAGCACTAACATTTTAGTCCTCAAAAGTGTATATACCTTATTATGAAATGAAAGACTACATTATTAAAAGGCTAAATCCTTAGTCATGGAGCTTTAAATACCAGAAAATGAAAGTGACCGATTAAGGTAAAAAGGTGGCATGTCCTTCCCCAGCCCACACCCAGATTTTGGGGACAATGGAATGAAGCAAGCTGCAGTTCTCAAACGGCCTCAATGGGAAAGCTCTAATTTGGAAATTCAAAGATATGCAAGCAAGTGATTCAGGTGTTTGAGACCAAGTCAAAGATGGAGATGGTACCCAAAAGAAGAGCAGATGAGACTAGGCCAGCCAGTGCTCAGGGCTTTGGGACAAACCATGTGATAGGAAAGGGTCATAAATGTATTCTTTCAGCAAGGGAGATTCATAAGTCCATTTATACATTACTACAAACAGCTGTGATCAGAAGTGTCTGGTTTCAAAAACTTGACGACAGTAAAAGGAAACACTGTTCATGCCAGTATGAAGAACAACCACATGAGTGTGATAGGACATGCAGAGCTAGGCTAGAGAACGACAGAGCAGAGTATCAGAAATGCAGAATTCCCCCCACTCACTTGTGATATCATAAACAACAACTGCAACAGTGGAGTCACGAATGTAGCTAGGAATCAAGCTCCTGAACCGCTCTTGACCTGCTGTGTCCCATAATTGCAACCGTACCTAACAAAATCAGTCAAACAAGCAAGAAAAATAAGAAAAGGTCAAACCCAGTGCAATATACCTACTTGTGATATCGTAAACTACTACAGCAGCAGCAGAGTCACGGATGTAACTGGGAATGAGGCTACGGAAACGTTCCTGACCCGCAGTATCCCACAGCTGCAACCTGATCTGTGGGATGGGAGAAAATTAAAAAAAAAAAAAAAAAAAAAAAGCCAAACTGCCACTAAAAATAAAGAGTAAATTTTATTTTATTGGCTTTTTAAAAAGCTAAATAAAAATATAACTCATGCAGGAGATTGTTTGGGACTGGGAGCAGTAGCGAACTGCCTCTCCTTGTGGCAACCTCCCACCCCCAGTGGTATCTAAGGCCATCTCTACACTTACAGCTCTGCAGCGGCACAGCTGCGCCTTTGCAATGTGTGTGGTGAAGATGCTCTATGCCAACGGGAGAGAACTCTCCCATCAGCATAAAAATACCACCCCCATGATCGGCATAAGCTATATCGGCGGGAAAAGCTCTTCTGCTGACACAGCGCTGTGCACACTAGTGCTTGTGTCGGTGTAATTTATGTTGCTCCGGGGTAGAATATTCACTCCCGAGCAACATAAATTTTGCCGACATAGGCGGTAGCGTACACATAGCCTAAAGGTAGTGTATTCTTTACCTAAACTGATCTAGAAAGGAGTCCAGAGGAATCTATATTTCACACTCACTTCCCACCTCTTCGTATTTCAAAAGCCCCTTCCCACTTCTAGAGGGCGGGCAATAGGATGGCTGAGTTTTCCAGCCAGAGAGGGCAAGCAGGAAACCTGAGGCAAGTGCCAATCTGCACATCCACCCACAGAAGGCATTCATGCTCTGCTGTCATTCTTCCTGGGGCCCAAATGCGTCACTACCACAGAGACCTGTATGACAAGGAGGTTGGAAGAATCACATTTAAGACCACTTCTAAATGCAAGTCTTCCAGCTGCTGCCAAGCCACTGGAGTGGCTAACATCATGCTTTTTCAAAGAGGATGAATGCTAGTCATTCAGCTGCATGTAAGGTTTAGCCATAATGCAAAGTAACTGAGATAAACACTGATGACAAGGATGAAATTCTCTTACCACTTCAATTCTGAAAGAAAATACAAGATGCTCTATAAACCAGCATACATCTATATAAAAACATCTAAGGGCCTGAACTGCTTTAGAAAAAGCATGCTAATTTGTCAGATCACTTAAAATACAATCACATCTATTGTGCGTTTATCCAATACCATCAGCTTGTGCAGAGTTATGCAATTTATGTTCTACAAATATATACCCCATTTATTAAGGATGTGAGCTAATTTTGGACCATGGCGTTCATTTCTGTGGAACACTGGCTTAATTTCAGAGACAGTACTGTTCTAAACAGAGTAAACATGCATATATTTATGAGTTATACATATTCTATTTAAAATGACATGTTAAACCCTGCTGAGTTACAGGCTGGCAGTTCTAGTCATGATGCAATTTATATTCAGCCCCCCAGCCACATATTAACTTTTGGGGGTGCCCCTTTTCCAAAACCCCATCTAACAGCAGACTCTTTAAAACCTTTCCCCAGCCATGCACTTTTCCTCCTTTACTCCCCACATTCTGCATCACATTGACCATTCAAATCAAGAATGACTGAACATGGCCTCTTTCAAAACTTGTGAAAAACCTCAAGAGGCAAACACTCATTTCCCTACATTGCCTCCACAGCACAGCCTAGAAGCAAGGGACCAAGCCTGAGTCAAACACTGATCTTCTGCCTGGTAGCAGGATGGTTTATTTCTAGACCTCCAGGCCACTTCAGAACTCTGAAGCATGCTCACATTATGACAGATTACAAAAATAATACCAAGAATAGCAGATTCTTTCCAAGCGACTACAGAAAATCATGCAAAATCTTACTCACTGTTCGATCCTCCAGGTACATGGTTTTCGATAAAAAGTCAATGCCAATTGTTGCCTGTAAAAAAATGTCAGATTTCAATTAAAAAAAGAAACAGGTGTTATGTTTCTCTCAAGGGTATTCAATAATTGTCATGCCAGACTAGAACTGGTACAAGCTGATCGGGGGGCCATACTTATGGGATAGCGCTTTCCTTCAGTGGGATTTGAAAGCAAGATACAGGTTAGGCTTTTTCCACTTTAAGCCTCAAGACTCTTAAGTACATACCTAAATAAGGTGAAAGATATTGGCAAAATTAGTGCCTATTAGTAGCATAAGATTACAGCATAAAAAGGGCACGTTTTTAATTAAGTTAACCAGTTTGTACACAACTTTGGTCATTGATTCCACAGACAAGTATACAGCAGCAGGGTTTTCTTTGTGCCTTTAGACATTACTGGAGCATAGCAACAGAAATCCTGACACCATCTTAACCAAAATGTGGGGGAAAGGGAGGAACAGTGTTAAAAACAGCCCTTGTAGCACTGATCCCAAGTCTTCATTCTCTTGGTGATGCTGTATTGAATATTTACTGCAGAATTGGGAAACTCAGTACTGCAGCTTTGTGTATTGCAGGTGTATGACTGACCTGGGACTGGGGCTACTAACACTACCATGGCTTTAACAGAGTGACCCTTGATATTGCAGTGCCATTAAATGGTATCAATGAAGCCAGGAAGACAAGCTGAGTCCCAGCAACCTGGTATCAACTGAAACAAAACCATTAAGGGTCTAGTCTTCCTCAAGTTACGGTAAGAAAGCTTGATCCTAAAAGTCAAGGGAACCCTTATCCCAAAAATGCTTCTGCACCACAAGATCCTTTTTATTGTAGGCATTCTACCATCTCTCTGCCACGCTTCCCAATAGGTTGGGGGACAATCTAGTGGGTGGTATTCATGCAACCAGCCAGCTGCAAAAGGAAACTGACTAGATTGCATGATCCAACTCAGTTTCCCTCTGCTGCTAGCTGTAGTGTTTGATGCACAAGACTTTTCCTGACTAGAGAAAGCCAGTGTCTTGGGAGGAAGCCAGAGGAAGGTATATGAAAGTGACTAGGTTGATTTCCCAAATGCTGATGACCCAAAAGCATTTCCATCTTCAAGAACTGGGAAGGATCCCAAAGTTTAGAGGTGAACAGATGAAATATACCAGCGGTTCTCAAACTGTGGGTTGGGACCCCAAAGTGGATCATGACGCCATTTTAATGGGGTTGCCAGGGCTGGTGTTAGACCGCCTGGGGCCCAGGGCCAAAGCCCGAGCCCCACCGCCTGGGGCCCAGATTTCAGCTATAGCCAGGGGCAGTGGGGCTCAGGTTACAGGCCCCACGCCCAAGGATGAAACCCTCGGGCTTCAGCTTTGGCCCCGCAGTCCGGGGTGGTGGGGCTTGGGTGGGCTCATGCTTCAGTCCCCTCTCCTGGGGGTCATGTGTTATTTTTGTTGTCAGAAGAGGGTCGCAGTGCAATGAAGTTTGAGAATCCCTGACATATACATATTGGGGGACTCAGTCGACTGGTACATTGAAACATTTCCCTTCCACTGCTAAACAAGCTACAAGGTTTTGATAAAGCTACATTAAAGTTTGCCTCAAGAAAGTTTCCATTCTCCCTGATATCTTATGGATTTCCTTGTTCAATTAAACAATATTTAATAGATAAAAGCCTTAAGATCTTGCACCACACACAACCCTGGGTCACACCAAAAATTCCAACTGTCCAGTTGGAACCACAGTAAAGACACCATCCTGGTGACTAGCAGAGTTTTTACAACAGCTTTAGTAAAAAGGAGGCTGAGCTCAAACAGAAGACTGTCCCAGCTGCTTTGTGCAAGAGCTTCCTGTACAACAGCAGCTCAAGTGAGTCTGATTTGCAATTACGCATGATAGTTTCCATCTTCATTAAAGCAGGTCAGAAGCAACACAACTCTCTCTGCATCCCAGATTGAGTGATCTCCCATTAGCCTGGCACTGTATCTGCAGTATCTCCTACTCGACGGATAAGAAACAACATTACGCTGTGTAGATCTTCATAAGTATGAAAATTTGATATTGACACACTGAGCAGAGTCAGAGGAGCCAAATTTGGACAGCCGCACAGTTCTAGCCATATAATAATAATAATAATAATAATAATAATAAAAATAAGTGAAGTGAGAGCAGAGGGCAAGGCAAGAAAACAGGCAGTCTAGGGATAGGTCTACATTTGTGGCAGCGTGTAGCATACCGACACCCAGCTAGCATGGGTATAAACAGCAGGGGAGATGGTGAGGCACTGCATAGGTGAGTAAAGACACGCCTGAACCCTGCGGGTACGTACCCTATCTGCCAAAACAGTGCCTCCCACGTCCACACTGCTGTTTTTAGCAGTGTAGTATTCCGCTTCCTCCTCTGCCCATCGCAGGGAAAGATTCTGGCAGCAGGGAAAGGGTCTGGCGGGGCAGCTGCCGGAGCCTTTCCCTTCTGCCTCCCCTTGACAGAGTTTTTCACTGCCATGGGTAGCTACATGCGAGTAGCCACAGCGAGTCTGGATGCAATCTGTCTTTCTCTGTGGCATGTAGTTACACGTACCCTACTCGCCGCCGCAAGTGCAGACAAGGCCTAGGAGTCTAAACTTTTAAATACAATAAAACTTAAATCAAAGAAAGGACACAGGAGCTGGGCATCTGTTCAAGTTCCTGACAGGAGGAAGACAGGAATTGCAAGCTGGCTCTGGTTCTGTCCCCAGCTGCACAGAGATGGGAAAACCTGAAGTGCGGATTAGCGGACTTGAAGTAAGAAGGATGCTATAAGCCTATTAAAGTTTACTGTCAGATACAAGAATAAGTGGGCATGAAATTAAGCTAAAGTAGAGTAAGAATTAGGGAAGTTTGGGTACCATTTCTTCACACATACAGTTGTTAATATGTGGAACCAACAGAAGCAAGCAGTTACAGGTTCTGTAGGCAAGAGATACATTGTGAGGCACAAATGCAAATTTAAAGGAGGCAGGTGGACCTAAATGGAACAAAGTGCTCCATCCACTGCAAGTATCTGTCTAGATCTTTATATGGCCCCCTCACCATAGTATCCAAGTATTTATCCTCAACACCCCTGTAAGATGGGGATAACAACATTGCCCTATTTTATAGATTGGGAATGGACAGAAGACAAGTGACTTGCCCAAGGTAAGAGAGGGAGTTTGTGGCAGAGCAGGAATTGAGCCTGGATCTCCTGAGTCCCAAGCAAGTACCTTTACCACAAGACCATCTTCCCTCCATTTTTACAGCTTACAGAATCATAGATTTTAAAGCCAGAAGGGGTCATTACAATCCTCTAGTCTGCTCTCTTGCATAACGGAGACAAGGGGGTGAACTAATGTCTTTTATTAGGCCAACTTCTACTGGTGAGAGAGACAAGCTTTCAAGCTACACAGAGGACTTCTTCATGTCTGGGAAATGTATTCAGAGTGTCACAGCTAAATACAAATTGGTACAGATTACTTAGTGAAAGTATCAGAGGAACAGCCGTGTTAGTCTGTATTCGCAAAAAGGAAAAGGAGTACTTGTAGCACCTTAGAGACTAACCAATTTATTTGAGCATGAGCTTTCGTGAGCTACAGCTCACTTCATCAGATGTTTACCGTGGAAACTGCAGCAGACTTTATATACACACAGAGAATATGAAACAATACCTCCTCCCACCCCACTGTCCTGCTGGTAATAGCTTATCTAAAATGATCCCACCTGTTGATCATTTTAGATAAGCTATTACCAGCAGGACAGTGGGGTGGGAGGAGGTATTGTTTCATATTCTCTGTGTGTATATAAAGTCTGCTGCAGTTTCCACGGTAAACATCTGATGAAGTGAGCTGTAGCTCACGAAAGCTCATGCTCAAATAAATTGGTTAGTCTCTAAGGTGCCACAAGTACTCCTTTTCTTTTTAGTGAAAGTAGTTAACACACTCTAAGAGACCATTCAAAGTACAATAGCCCGTTAACACCTCTACAGTCATAGGATAAAAAAGGGGGGGTTAGTGGGTTATAGATTGTTGTAATCAGCCATAAATCCAGTGTCTTTATTGAGACCATGATTTTTAGTGACTAGCAAATTTCTGAATTTAAACTCCCAGCTTGTCCTTTGGAGATGTTGTGCAGGTTTCCTTTGAGGATGAGGACTGAGAAGTCAGCTATGGAGTGATCATTTTGTGACAAGTGTTGCCCATGGGGGTATGGCATGTTTGCCTTTTATCATTTTTCTGTATGAGCTTGTGCATAATAGTCAGAGAACTTTCACTCAGTAATTGTTGCATCGAGCCCATATCGCATGTGTTTTTAGAAAGGCCATATACAGAGAGAGCATGAAAACAGAAGAGCAAGTGGTCAGTAAGTTGCTACTCAGCTGTTTAAAAGTGTGGCAGGTAATTTGGGGCCTCTGTCCTTGCTGGCCTTTCCTTGCTCTCCAGCACTGCATAATATCTACAATGCAGCCTCTCCCAACCCCACCTGCAGGCAAAGGGTTCCATTCCTGTTATGAACATACTTTGCCAAACGTCACATTTTATTTCTCATGTGTCCCGCACCCCCTCCCCCCCAAAACACACAGCAGGGAACCCTCTGCTGATTTGTATGTCTGCACAACTGCTGCTTTCCTGAAAGCAGCTTATTAATAACCGATGAGCAACAGCAGCACGCCTCTTACTTGGCAACTTGGGAATAAAAAACCCACACAAAGCAAGGAATATTTTATCAAACACAAGCTTCCTATTTATAACTGAACCCGACAAATATGGCTCTAGTGATTGGTTGTGGAAGCTTTCAGAAATAAAGAGTGCACCCAAATTTGTCAAAAGGCACCAGAAGATAAGATCATCTGTCAACCTACCTATAGCTAAAATTAGCCAAACACAGTTCAAGGTACGGTACTGGACTTTTGACAGGGCTCAGCTATTCAGAACTTGGTACTGGGCTGCAGGGAATCTGGGTTCTGGCTCTGCCATTGACTTGCTGTGCGATCCTGGTCAAGTCACTTAACCTGGTGGAACTTTATCCCCCCTTCCTGTTATGTAAACTCTGGAATAATATTTCCCAGCCTCTGAGTCATGATCATGTTTGTAAAACTAAACATCCTCAGGTGAATGGTGCCATACAAGTACAAAGCTAGGCACACATCAGTGACAGGTAAATTGAAGCTGATTATTTGATAAGCCCCCAAGATTTCTCTAACTAAGTCCCACTCATTCATTTTGCAATCAGTTTATTACATCAGACATCTTCCCATGGAGACAGCTGCATTAACATAAAGTTTGAGGGTCAAAGCTCTCCAAGTAAAACTAGGACACAGAGTCCACAGAGAAAAAAATAGAACTGAAAGAAAAAAGTACTGTTGGAAAGAGAGATGATTAAATAAAAGCACTGCTTTAACATGTCCATGTAATTACTGTGGGCAGAATCTGCAAGGATGTTTGCTCCCAGGAGAGGCTAATGTGTACTGTAGTCACCCTAGACCACAGAAGCTTTGCTAACACTGCTGATTTAATGGGAACTTGCATTTAGTTCTGTCCGACTTGCCTAGCAGCAGTGATGGGGAACTATGGAGAAACAGGAAAGAAACCATTAATAAGGAGGAAAGGCTATGACAGAATCTCCCAAAAATGCTTTTACAAGTTTAAGTGGAGAACAACTACAGTACTGGGTTTTTAAAAAATATAAATATAGAGGACTGGTCTTCAGGACAGGGACTGTCTGTTTGGAAAGTGCTTAGCATGTGATGGGTGAGATGGGACTGTAAATAAGTAACATAATGCAGATTTGTTTCAAGAAGGGGCTCTGTAACAGTGGCATTTGGTTTCATGATTGATGGCTGCCAGAGCAAACATGCTCCACTTATGAAAAAAACAACGTTTTTTGTAGCTGCCTTGCAAGATCAAGCTAGAATGTGAGAACTGGGTTCTTCCTGGCTCATGAGTCAACCAGAACATGGTTTGCTTATGTAGTCAGAATAGAATCCAGCTAACACACAGCTGTGTTGGCTCTACAGAGCTGAACAGAGTAAATAGCAGCAACTACTATTACAGCCTCCTGTTGCCAGCAGTCAGAAACCATGCTGCCAGTTCAAACCCGAGGTGGGACATGAGAGAACTATGCCTGGACCTGCCCTTAATAGTTTTATACAGTGGTGCAGTAGCCATGTTGGTCCCAGAATATTAGAGAGACAAGTTGGGGGAGGTAATAAAACTTCTGTTGGAGAGAGAGAGAGAAACAAGCTTTTGAGCTACACAGAGCTCTGCTTAGATAGCAGGAGCGAGACACACATTTTTTAAACAACGAACTACTCATTTCTCCCCTCTATGCTCCACAGACCCTCGAGTCCCACGGTGTGCCCAAGCCAGGAGTCCATTGTGGAACAGCTTTCTTCCCAGTCTTGCACCAGCAAACATGGTTCCAAGTTTCTGGTGGTAACTCCACTCACATCAGTACGTTCCAGAGTCACTCCTGCTGTATTTCCATGACCATCACTAGAGTTACGTTAGGGGTGAATAAGGTCCATGAAGTTTTGGCAACAAGCAAGGAAGGGAATGGCAGAGCTATCCCAATAGTTGAGAACAGCCACTTCTCAAGGAGACTGGCTTTCCGCTTCAAAGCGGAGGGATCACCTGCCCATTGGTCAGCTACAATGCAAATTCCAATGTTATATGAAGAAGTCAATGGTGGGGTGGGGTGTATTTTTATAAGTTTAAAGCTTTAAAACCAAATAAATATATTTAGGATACTGGCTGATCAGCAAACCCTCACTCACTAGAGTCAAGTAGAGGCCTCATGTGAAAAACAGTTTGACAAGATTGGGGCCCATAAAATGCTGAGATTGATTCTATTACCTGATAGGTGTTGTCAAAGCTGTCATACATGAACCTGGTGATCAAGGAGGTCTTCCCCACTAGAAAACAGAAAAACAGGTTCAAGGAACAGTTTTTAGTGTGAAATTAGAACAAGTGACCAAACACTGCATTCCAGTTTTAACTGGTGTTCCATCAATCAATACTGTGCAATTAAACTGGCCAAGGGTAAAAAGGAACTCAGTTGATGTAATTGTTGCAAGAGTCACTACCTTTTTTCTGAAAGCCATTCAGATATTTAAGAAATTAAAGTTAAATGCACACAAAAAAAGCAAACAACAGATCCAACTACAACATTAATTTCAAATTATTGTGTTTGATTTTAAAATTTAGCCAATTGTGCCCATTCTCAAAAGTGTCTTAGGCCCAGATCCACAAAGGTATTTCGGTTCCTAGCTAGATTTCAATGGGAGTTAGGAGCCTAAACATCTTTGTGTATCTGGGCCTCACTTTTGAAAATTTTACCTCTGATCTCCATTAACTCACACTACACATGCACCTGACATAACTAGTAGTCACTACCACAAGACAGGATGGAAATGCACTAAAGTTGGCAGGCCCCCTGCCCACAGAAAGCCTGGACAGAATCTACTTTATACTCCTCACCACCACATCAGCTTCGATCCACCCTTGGAGACAACACATGTATTACCCCTTGCAGCATATGCAGGTATGTGCAGTGTTAAATAGCTCCCACATTCCATCTGATGGTGGCTGCATTTCAGGATTGGTAGGAGAGGTAGATCACCTAATATCTTAGATCCTGTATCATGCCATTGTTAATGGATCTCCATCACTATGTTTATTAGTACTGTGTGCTTCGTTAGCATTTATCAGAGATTTCAAAGCACTCTGTCAAAAGCTTATGTCTCCCTGAGGCAGGTAAGAAGTAACATACCCAATGTAAATCAGGCACACTAAGGCAGCTAGCTTCTGAGTGACATGTCAGTGGCTAAGCTGGGATGAGGACACAAGTGACCTGACTCAAACTCCTTTTCTACCTAGTCCACCACTTGCTCTTATTTCTGAGCCAGTTTAGACTAAAGGAGTCAGTAAGAAAATAGAAGAGGAGGCGTGTGAGGCTGGTGAAACCAAATCCCTTCTTGTGCCTCATCACAGTCTGGCATTTTAAAATCCTTGCACTGTACTTCTAGTGCTAAGCAACTGCCATGCACTATGCTTCTCTGTTGTACTCCACACCGCCATAGGGCCTTCCATAAGAACCAGTGCAGTGATTTCCATACAGGCTAGTTCAGGTGGTGCAGAACAGACAAAAAGGGAGAGCTGCATTACCTCCACGCTACCCACCCACACAACGCAGCTGAAGATGTGGCAGCTCAACTTGCACAGGGCTGTAGACTTCAGCAATAGCCAGAGCTTCTCTGTTCCGGCGGCACTGAGAACCACCAGATGCCCCCCACAAGCAGTAGCATGTAGCCTTCCAGAAAGTGGGGGTGGGGACTGGGGAGACCATGAAAAAGGACCATGAATCACTTGTCTTTTTGACAACATTGGCCCAAACTTCTACAAACAAGGGCTCTCTAAGGCCACCCCAACAGAGCATTTGATTCTATTTCCAGCGTCCATGAATTTCACCATTGCTTCCTTTTGAATCCAGCTCTGCTATAAGAAATGAAATCTGCAGCTTCCAACAAGGAGCCTTTGAGACAGAGCCCTTGAGTCCAGATGCGACTTTCTCCATGAATTCATAAATGCTTCCACCCTGTAAGCATAATCAAATTTCACAAGAAGTTCGAAGGCTGCCTTTGTAAAGATGTAACAAATATTCCCTTCAATGTATAGCTTTAGGCAGCAAGCATCTGAGATAGAGCAGAGGTAGTCCCACATTTATTCAGATTTGTCCTGGGAACCCTACGCAACAGAATACAAGTATGTCGAACAGGGAGATGTGGTGCAGAGTGAACACAAAGCAGTGGTCAGTCACAGATCTAGACACTGCAAGTCTCAGATTAACTTTGCCACATGATTCACTCCAGCATCTATGCTGATGTACACCCTGGTGCAGTGCCACTAGTTGAAGGTGTATCAGAAGGATGCAACAAAACAGAACAGCACCTTCCCTCCATAAGGGTGCTTGCATAGCTCAAAGAATGGGAGCAGTGGATCTGGCCAAGAAACTCTGGAGAAGAGCTGACTTAACAAATCCTCACTGCACCTCTATGAGTAATTTACAGAGTCCCCAATGGAAATTCTGAGAGTGGGCAGGTAACTACCACTGAGCTGGTTCTCTCGGGAGTCCTGAGGTACAGTGAGGTCAATCTGTATCTCCCTGCACCACCAAGAGCAAATCCATCTTACTATGACAGAGCACTGAAAGGATCGACAACAGGACTACCAATCATCATGCCCAGTGAAGCATACACTGCAGGTACTTCAAAACATGCCAGCAGGCTGCCAGCACGAGCTTCTAGAACTCCTCTCCTGTACTTCTGGATCTCTTAGAAGCAATCTCTGCTGAAAATACAGATCCACCAGACAGGAAGGTTCTCTTTCTTATCACTTGCCATATCTCCCTACACCCCAACACCCTCATTTAAACTACCTTTCCAGAATCAAACAGCAGGTGCGGGGGAGAGAAAAGGTGATTGCTGTTGGGTTTAATTTGAATTGAAACTATTTCAACCTACGTACTGGTAATTTGGATGCACTTCAGTTCAAAGACTCTTCTTTTTCTTTAAGGGAAAAAAGGTTCTCCTTACAAAATGAATCAATAGTTACCGAATCAGGTTAGGCTTGATACCGACTGTTTACAGTTTTAATTCCACGACTATGAAAATATCACATTTCTAAGTGCAAACTTGCTTTAAGAGTCTAGGTAGAAGTGAGAGCTAAGTGATTGGAACCAACAGTATCCGCACTTTCTCTTAAATTATAGAGCCAGTGGGATCGGAGAGCCTCAGATTTTGAAATTCATGGGTTTGGATTTATATAAACAGGCACCCACCCTGAAGCTGTATAGGCTTAACACTCATTTCAAAGAGCCAATCCTACAATATTTGGAACAGAGCCTGTATAAGGCAACTTCCCCATGCCCTCCATCACAAGCCAAAAGGCAAAGAAACAGCAAAAAACAAAAACAAAAATATTTTTCTCACCTCAGAATGGCCCCGGATGCCCCAAGCTCACAAAAGATTATAGGTGGGCCTTGAGGAATGCCCTGGAATTCAAACTGGCTATTCCACACCAAGAGCCAAAGGCCACTCATGGAAGCTGTCTTGCCAGCAGTCCCTTGCTATCAAAGGCTTTGGGTGTATCTACCCTACAGCTGCCAAGCTACGGCACTGCAGCAGAGCTACTGCAGCACAGACACTTCCTACATCGATGGAAGGGTTCTTTTCCTTTTGATGTAGTCAATCCACTTCTTAATTCTTCCGTCGACCTAGCTGCAAGTACAGTGGGCGTTAGACCAACCTAACTATGTAACACAGGGTGTGAAATTCCTCACAGCCTTGAATGATGTAGCTAGGTCAAGCTAATATTTTGGTGTAGACCAGGCCTCAGCCTACACCAGGAAAAGGAGATAGGTTTCAGTCAACATGTTTCACATCATTTAGACCACCTCATATGCTTTTACACACGACTCCACACCAAGTACTAAATAGTGATTAACAACGTTACATGTTGGTTAATTCATTTCCCCAGTATACTAAGATAGGGGAAAGGAGTTAAACAAAACCTAAAAACTCCACCCTGATCACCGCTGCGGTGCTGTCACACAGGGAGAGACGTGGTCTCAGGCAGGCCCAAGCTTTATACTGACATTTAACTAGGCATGAAAACGGGGCGGGGGGAGGGAGGGTTGGGGTTGGTTGAACTTAAATATAGTGGCTTGAGAAGGATGTGAAGACAGGCCAGATCCCACAGCTAGTGGTCTGGTCTAGTCTACACTTAAAAGTTAGGTTGACATAGGTGCTGTGTTCAGGGATGTGGAAAAATCCACACTCCTGAGCACCATAGCTGTGCCAACATAACCCCCAGTGCAGACATAGCAAGGTCAATGAAGAATGCTTCCACTGACCTAGCTCCTGTCATTCAGAAAGGTGGAGTTCCTACAGCACAGGAAACTTCTTCCGTTGCTGTAGTCCACATCTACACTATAGGGTTACAGCAGCATAGCCATGGCACCGTAACTATGCTGCTGCGGCGTCTGTAGTGTAGATATGGCCTTTTTAGCAAGTTGATTATTGTTCATTCACCTTACACAGAGGGAGGGCCATGGAGCCAGAGTTCAGTTTGCTTTTGCCCTTACGTCACAGTAATTCAAGTTCCGTTTTCACTTCTATCTCACTTTACAGTTCAGGATCAGAACCATGTCAGTCTCTACTGAACATACACTTGACTTACAGCACCTGAAACAGGGCTGATTTTAAACAACGTTCTGTTTCATGACAATATGTTTTTGGGGGAGGAGAATCAAAGCTGAATATAGACAGCAAAGCCATCAACAAAGGGAAAAGACTTCTAAAATGATCATCTCTGTCAAAATGGGGGTGGGGGGGGGAGAGGGACGGACGGACAGACAATAAAAATCCTTGCCCCACTAGATGGAGCAGTGTAATAGCTGTGCCAGACAGACTCAGGATATAAGTCTTAACTGCCTGTGGCGGCGAGCTTCCCAGTTGGACAGACACAGGTCTAGTTTACACTACAGACTTTTGTTGACAAAATAAAACCATCTCGACGAGAGGCGCAGAGCCTTTTGTGACACAGTTAGATCAACAAAGCATCGGTGTAGACACCACGCTTGGTTTTGTCGCTGTAAATAGCCTCCAGGAGGTGTCCCATAATGCCCATCCTGACCACTCTAGTCAGCAGTTCAAACTCCACTGCCCTGCATCCAGGTACACAGGCATCTATGTCTCCCACTTTAAAGGCCTGGGAATTTTTGAAATTCCACTTCATGTTTTGCTCGGCATGAAGAACTCATATTGCATTTTCCCAGGTGACCATGGCGGTTCCAAGCAGCAAACGCTCTCCCATTTGGGCCACAGCTGAGTTGTTGGATCTGCTGAGTATATGG